AGCAAGAGAAACTCCAATGCAGGTGAGCACTTAAGCATTTATGGTTTGCTTTAGGGCTTGTTCTGTAATAACAAATCTTATATTTGAATTATCATAAAAAACCACAAATCTGCCAAAATTTTTGTTGGTGCTACTAAAGTTGCCAGTGAGAAATAAGATGGGAATTGGGTAAAATGCACTACTAATAGTAACACCAGGCTTGGAATACTAGTGCTGAGAGTCCCAGTATAAAAAGGGGACTGGGAGACAGAGGCATATAAACGCGAGGCAGTAGCTGACAGCAAGTTTGACAGTGGTCTCAGCTCATTAGCCATCTTAATTTACACTGAGGTTTTTGTTTGGTGTTTGGTTTGGGTTTTTTTCTGTTAGTTTTGTGTGTGTGTGTGAAAACTGAGTGTCTGTGGGTTTTTTGTTTGTTTTTGGTATTTATTAGGTTGGTTTGTTTTGCTTTGGTTTGTTTGCAGAAATCACACCTAGGTGACCTACAGCACCTCTGCTGTGTTTCAGCTTGCAGAGACACCCTCTGTTGTCCAAAGCAATAGATGCTGTTGTGTAGATGTACGGAGAAGAGAAACCTTTGGGGACACCTTATAGCAGCCCTCCAGTACCTAAAGGGGCTACAAGGAAGATGAGGAGAGACTATTAACAAGACTATGTAGTGACAGGACAAGGGGGAATGGCTTCAAACTGACAGAGAGCAGGTTTAGATTGGATATTCAGAAGAAATTCTCCCCTGTGAGGGTGGTGAGGCCCTGGCACAGTTTGCCTAGAGAAGTTGTGAACTCCCTGGAAGTGTTCAAGGCCAGGCTGGATGGGGCTCTGAGCAACCTGGGATAGTGGGAGGTGTCCCTGCCCATGGCAGGGGTTTGGAACTAGGTGACCTTTAAGGTCCCTTCCAACCCAGACCATTCTATTGTCTGCAGAAGGATACACCATTTTCCCCCCATCATTCTCCAAGTCACAGACACAGGCTTGTAGAAGACCAAAATATAACTTATAATATTGCCAAGAACGTGCTACCTATGGAGTTGGTCCCAGCACTACTTCAATCCTTTGAAGGAAAATTAACACAGCATGTGAGAGTGCAGGAGAGGAGAGAAGGCAATGCGGCAGTGTGGCACTGGAAGGGGTGTTCACCAGCTCTTTCCTGACACAGCATCACCAAACTGCTCAGGAGACTGCACACATCATCCTGTCCACATATTCACCCCACCACTGGTTAGCAGTGAAAAATGCATCTAGGGGAACACATGGCACTCAGAGTGAATAATTTGCACAGCAGCATCTTTGAGAATCACTCTGAAGTTCCAAAAAGAGTTGACATGCTCAAAAAAAATCCCAAACCCTGCACTGGGAAGAAACCCATCTTCACAGGCTTCCAACCTTGTCTGCTTCCCACCTAATCCATGTCCCACCTAATGAACGTGAAGCTGCAGCTGAATAGCTGCTGCTGTTCAGTTTGCACTCTGCAGGCACTGCTGCTTCACTAAGCTCTCTCTTTTTTCCTTTATCTTGGTGAATTTGTGGACTTTCTCTATTTAAATGCCTTTTTTATTTTTCTGCGGTGTGGGATAACAATGCACAGACTTTCATTTATGGCAATAGTGTCTGTGGTTTCAGCCCTAACTCTGATCATGCCTTCTGGGTGCTAATCTTGCATATCATTGTATGTACAGGCTCTGCTGTGACACAGTAGAGGGTTAGAATTGAAACCCAAACTGCAGATTTACTCACGGGACTCACTCAGTTTAGCCTGGAAGTCTCTATGTTGCAGCTCAGCTTTTGGGAAGTACAAAGGTCCATTTTGTTGTCAGACCAGCAGTTCAGGTTCTTCAGAATGTGCACCACAAGGCAGCTGGAGTCCTGGGCTGAGCTGCCTGTTCTGTGGCAGCACGTGCTGAGTTCTGCTCTGCTGAATTCTGCTCTGCAGCCCACGTTGCTGTTCTCTGTCTGCTTGTGCCTTTACACGCAGTGAAGGACATGCTGTCACACCCACAGAAGAGGTGTCATCTGCAGCTGTTATCACAGTTACTCTGTGCATAAACTGGAACTGGCAACCACTGACACCAGAACATCACCAAGTGACATTACTCAGGCATGACAGTTACAAGTGGAGAGTCACTGTTCACGCAGGAGCATGTGTCAAGGTGGGGAATGACATGAGCTGGCACCTCTTTTGCCTCAACAGAGCCCCTGAAGCTCCAGGCTGATGAGCTCTCAGTGAGCAGTGGCAGAGGAATCCTACACAATGATCCCACTATTGTTCCTTGCAGATATCTCCGGTCTGAAAACTCAAGGCTAAAAAATCATTCCCTGCTTCCCAGACACGTGGCTGGCTGATACACAGCAAGCCCTGATGTTTTAGAGGCCTCACCAACATTAGTGTGCTATAAGCTTTGCATGTTCATCAGGTGGTTGGGAGGAGAGAACAGAGTGAAGCGAGACTCTACCTGGAGAACCTAAAAGACACAAGGGTGGATCATGCAATAAATTAAGCTCAACCCAGACTACCGTTTGTGAATAAGTGGCTGAGGGAGCTGGGGGTGTTTACCCTGGAAGAAAAGGAGGCTCAGCAGAGACCACCTCACTGTCTCCAACTCCCCAGGGAACAAGTGACAGGACAAGAGGAAATGGCCTCAAGGTGCTTCATGGGAGGTTAAGCATTGGAACAGGCTTCCCAGAAAGACAGTGGAGGCACCATCCCTGGAGGTGTTCAAGGAATGACTGGATGTGGCACTCAGTCCTCTGGTCTGGGTGACAAGGTGGTGATGAGTAAAAGCTGGACTTGATGATCTTGGAGTTCTTTTCCAACCTAAATGACTCCATGATTTTTATATCTGGGCCACTTTTTTCCCCCAGGAGTAACAAACCAAAATGACTATGATACCTGAGTGTGAAAAGATCCCAATGGGGGTATGACTGGGCTGAGCCAGTCCCTGCTTCTGAAGTATTTATTCTGCAAAATCTACCAGCAGACAGCAGTGCACGGTCACAGGGGAAAGGTCTGCTCAGGTTCTGGATATATGATAAAAGTGCATCTGTGACACTGTCTGAACAAAGCAGAAGAATTCTTCCTTCATGACAATGGTGCAACAGGTGCCCGTGGGATCTCTACCCATGGAGATTTCTAAAACCTGCCTGGATAAAGCCCTGAGTGACCGGATTTAACTGTGGAATCAGTCCTGCTTTGAGCAGGGATTGGACTAGACATTTCCATCACCTTTATGAGCACTGGGCCATTTTGCTAACAAAGACCTTTTGGATCTAAATGGCCTTTTCCTACAACAGCCTGGGTTTTTTTCTTCTGGAAGTGCTACTGGCTTGGTGACCCACATCTGAGTATTCATAAATAAAGCTAAAATTCAAAATGAAAACAATAGAAAATAATTAAAGTACTAACAGAGCTAAAACTATTAACACTAAAGAAGATAGTTAGCAAATGAAAATACTGTGGCAGTGAGAGAAAAAAAAAGATAGCTTTCCAATAGGAAAGAAAGAATTTAAGAAAAATGTCTTGCAAAGGCTCATCTATTCCTTCTAAAAATTAAAATTCACCCTCCTTTTCATTATCTGCCCTAGCAGTAAGCACAGCATGTAGACTTCAAATCCCAAATGAGAACTGCTTATGGTTATTTGGAAGTTTGCTCTGGAAACTAACTCTGTGCATTCCTAATTTTCTTCAGGCAAGTGAGAATCTGCTCAGTCAGAGAGGATGCAGCTGCCTGGTCTGCATTGCACGCTTCGTGAGTTTGCTCTTCTGTCTGAAAATGTGTTTTTCAGAGGAGACGGGAAGACATGTTCCCTTAAAATAGAAACGCTGTTTTTTTCCACTCATTCATGAAGACCTGTGTGTACCCTGACTATACATTGTCACATCTTAATGGTTTTGACTAATTTAGGAGGGGCTTATGTGAGAAAAGACTGCTTAAGTGTATGTGACGTGATGGAAAGAGAGCCCAAGTGTTCAAGCAAGCCTTCTAGCTCTCCTTTATGGACCCAAGTTTAAAAAACTCCAAATAAGGAAAGTGGGTTTTGGTTCGGGGTTATTTTTTGCTTTGGCTTTTTTGGTTTTTTGGATTTTTTTTCCATTTCAGGCCTAAATATCCTGCTGTAAAGGATGATAAGTTCAGGGAAAGAAACCGTTTGAATCAGAGGACACGTTTTGTTTCACATTAGGATTAGTGATATGCCTGCTAGGTAGGTGTCCATGAATCAAACCTTGTCGGTATCCAGTTCACAGTATCGGTTTATCAGTGGTGATAAATAATGATTTAGATACCTTGCATATAAATTGTACTTGAGCAGCACTTCTGAGTAATCTGTTCCATGACTATCAAAGGTTCTTTTTTTTTCCTCTTTGTTACTGCACTTAACACTGTAACCAGTTATTTTATTTTGAGTTAATTTTAACACCTCATCAATACCATCTAAATCCAGTCATTAAACCATTAAAGTGCTCTGTGCGTGGAGCAGGTTAGAATTTGAGTTACATTTTTATAGCTATGTGGTTGCAGTTACATCAACCCCAAAACATCTTATACTGATATATATCTTATTTATCTTTCTTTTAGGTGAATAGGCTGTATAAGATCATGGACATGAGGATAATACAGCACAACATTGATTGCATTGCATTAGCACTTCTCATGAGAACCAGCATTTGTGAAAGCCCATTTTTGATTATTCCTTAGAAACTTCACACTGCTTTGACCAACAAGATTTTTTTTTTTAATATATATTATTAGAAAGAATGTTTTGTAGTCTTCGTTTTCTCCTGTATTCTGAAGGGCAAGAGATCACACAAGAAGAGACAGAATGTCTGCAAATAGGCTTTGAAGCTGTATTGAAAGGAGTAACTTCCTTCCTTTTTGATGTTTCTCAGCCATTCTCAGAGCCATAGCACAGTGTATGTGACTTCTGGAGGCAGGCAAAGCTGATACAGGATGCAACCCACTGTATTAAACCTGCTCTTTCCATAGCTCAGAGGGACTTGCTCATCAATGGCAGGGGATGTCACATATGCGGATGTGGCAATGCTGCCTAGGGAAAAACCACACGTTCCTTCTCAGACACCAGTTCCAGGTAAAACACCTCATCCTCTCCTGGGTGGACACTGTTTGCTCTCATGTTCTCTCTCTGTCTCTCTCTCTTTCATATTTAATACTGTCACTGGATAAAACTAGAAGAAGGTTATAACATGCTGCATGCAGAAGGCATGGGAAGTGGGAAAAGTTGGAAATAGTGGAAGAAATCCTCATGAGGTATAAGTCAGCAAAGCTACTAAGTCAGAACCACTAAGAAGCAACGGCTCAGATTTGGTCCCTTGTTTTAAGAAGCAGAATGAGGAAGAAAAAGTGTTCATTTTTGAATAATGGGCATAATATTTCTTCTTAAATGAACATGATCAAGACAACGCTCCACCAAATTACTACCTAGTCCAAAAATCAGATCAATGTATTTTAAGGTGTATTTGTGGAAAAGGAGTATTAAATTAATTAGTAAATCAGAAAACTAGTAGCAGTTGAAAGTGCAGTCACTGCCATTGAAGGAAGTACTGAATAAATCCTAAAACCCTCCTGTTCTTTCTCTTTAATTTTCCAGTAGTGATTCTTCCAGAACTAAATTATCAATCTGTGATCCCTTCATATATTTGTAACACATTAAGTCAATATTCAGGGTAAGGAGATGATTTAAACATTTTATTTTTTTTTTAAGAAGTAACATTTCTATTACTTGGAAAAAAAATGAAATTCATTCATGAAAGCATTTAGACAAAATTCTTCAGCAAATATGAATGACAACTTCTCACTATGAGAAAATAGAAAATGTTTGTGGTGTCAGACTAAGAGCATATTTTCATGCTTTCAAGGCTCATTAGTACTTAATGTATTTAATCACTTAAGGAAACAACATTGTGTAATAAGCATTTTTATAAGATGTTCTAATTACAATGTAGATGAGTGGTGATGATGGTGCTCTGAAAACATGCACTTAAATGACAGAAAATGTTATTTTTTATATATTTTTACAAGACCTATCTCCAAAAAATAAAAATGAGTTCACTGTATTATAGATAAAACAGGAAATACTACCTTCGACTGTATGTTCATGCATCCATGGGTATCATTTGTACTGCTGTAACCTGTGCAATACAAAGCACAGAGGGTTTGCCTAGAATTTTGCCCAGTATCTAAAATGATATAATTTGTTTGTAAAGGGAGACAGACATCAAATCTTGATTCGAAGACATCCAAAAACATCCCTTAATCATGCTGTCTAAAGGAAGGGATTGAATTTGATCAGGGCAGGCTTTGATTTCCATTGAAATTTTTCATTAACATCTAGATGATTCTTGTCAAACAGATTTTAACTCTCGGTATTTTCTCACATAAAGTTACTGACCAGAATAATCAAGTAATTTCTCAATGTCCTTTTGGTTTTAAATATTTAACTTCTAAGAAATGCTAATTATTGTTGTGGATGCTTTTCTGTTCATACTCCAGTGTTTCCATCTCCTTTAAAAACATGGGCACCAGAGATCCACCCAGTACTACTACAAGTCTTGGTTATGCTGTCTTAAAGTTATATAGAGACAAAAATCCCTGAAATAATCTTTTCTTCACTGTTTATAACTGCCAGTATCACCTTCCCTCACTCTTACATCTGATTATACTCAAATACATTTTGTTTGACCAGGCTCGAACTTACAGGGCTGCCTTTATTTATTGCTTTGTTAATTTTTTTGTTACTTACAGATTTCATTAGCAATTATATTTCTGCTCACTTTGACACAAACAGAAAAAGCACCAAATCGTATTAAGCAGTGTTGGAGCTCATACCAATATAGAACACACTAGAAATACTTCCTTGATGACAATTATTTCTCTGTCCTCGTGATTAACGTGTACTAACATGGGGTTTGTTGCTATTAAAATAGTTTGGAGCAGGAATTTGAAGCTGGTTCTCCAAGTGAGGATCTTGGCTCCAAGGTGATGGGGCTCCTTGTGGCAAATATCACAGTTTCTGCCTTGGCAATATCCCAGCTCCGGGACATGTTGAAATGTTCCCTGAGGATGGCTAATAGCCACATCCATCCCTTTCCCAGATTTTATCCCAGTCTTTCTCTCGGGCAGACTGACTACCTTGCAGAAAAAGAAGCAGCTTGAGGGAAAGCACTTCCTGGTTCAAACTCTCACCATGAAGAAGGTTTAATTTAATCACCACAGAAAATTTGGCAGATGAACCTTCTGAGTGGCAGATTCCCAGAATTTAGGCAGGACTTCAAATATCTAGGAAAGTGGAAAATGCCCACCTCCTCCTGGCTGCATTTTGTGGAACTTTTACCGTCAATTTACTGGAGTAGATACTAAAAAACACGGGGGGGGGGCACAGCTTTATTCTGCTAAGGTGGAGCTGCTGCCAAGCTCTGGTGCACAGGAAAGGTAAACGTGCAGGGAGCTGAACTTCTGCCAGTGTTCTCTAGCAGCTGAGTAGGTGTTTTAAATATGTAAAATCTGGATTTGAGAGTGAAAGTCCCTTTACAGATCTTTAGCTTTTCCTGATCTATGAGAAAGGGATTTCATTTTGTGAAATTATGCAGTTTCTTGGAGTTCTCCCAAATTCTGTTCCTATCTCAAAGTCTACTCAATGTATTTTTTGAGGACAAACGAAAAGATATAAAAAATCACTGGTGCCACATTTGCACAGAATGTGTAAGTTTGCAGTTTAATGATAAGGAAAGCTCACTCATGGGAAACTATTGGGATATACTTGATAGACTGGAACTTTCCTTGGCAGAAACCAAGCCAAGAAGAGTTTGACTCTGTCATCAAACTAGTCTAGAAGTAGTTGTAGCCTGCTATTAGCTGTCCCCTTTAGCTTCTTGTTCCCCTCCTTAACCTCCTCTTGACCAGGTCGACCTTCTGCTGGACTCTCTCTCTCCCAGTTCCCCCTGAATGGGGTGGCCCATAATGTTCCATAATGGACAACCTGCCAGGAGCAATCCCTTCCTGCACTTCCACTAAGTAGAAACTTCCAATAAATGGAGATGTTTTTCTGCACCTGACAATTGGCACAGAGAAATGAAGTGAAATTTCAGTTTTAGTAAGTGACAGAGATCTCCTCCCACTACCAGGGCTCCTTGTTGCTGAATTAGGTAAAGGGTGTGGAAGCATCTGGCAAAATTAAGGTTATGTGATATCTTAAATCTGCTTGTTGATGTCTACGGACATCACATGCAAATGTGCCAAAACACACTGTTATAGAAGTAATAATTTTTTTAAATATTCAGCTTGCATGGACAATTTTTCTTTTACAGACTTAGAGATATTCTTCAAAGGAATAGATCTTTATTTGAGAGATGAAATATTAAGAATAGTAGCAGATTGCTACTAGTTTAGAAGTGTCTCCATTTACAGTGCATTTAAAAGTTTAAAAGTCCTGACTATTTTCTGAAAATTATTTACATTCTAAGAAGAAAAACTTTCATGAGCATTTGTTTTTGAGAACAGTAAATATAGTTTACAAATTTTCTGTTAGTTCATTGAACTAATAAACTTAAATAAAGGAAACAGCCAAGTGTATTAGGTCAGGTTCCCTAAAGCATAGAATATCTCACCTGTATGAATAAACCTTATTTGCCAATCAGGTCCTCAGTGGTTTTCTTGTTGTAAAACCTCTTTACACTTCAGCAATTCTCATATCAGATGATACCTCATTTTAGCCTAAGGAGACTTTCTTCCTCTGCTAAGTTTTTCCCTTATTTGTGAGATTTTACAACATGAGGCACTTTTTAAAAGTGATCACAAACAAAGGCAGTAGCACAGAAGCTTATTATTGATTCAGATTGATAAAATCTCTCCATTTATGGAAAGAAGAAAACTAACTGCAAAATACCCAGCTAAACAAAATTGAATATACACTCAGAAAGAATCCATGTGAATCTAACCCACACCACGCTACATTTATGCCTTCTTTGGTTTTGTTTTGTCAATGTGCATCTGGAAAAGCACATCTCCAACCATCAGGTCGGTTCCTCTCCTTTTCCATGCACCATGTAATATCCTGGCATAAACATTCACAAGTGAGGAATGCCTCAAGAATTACTTTGCTGCAGGAGCATTTCTCTGAGTGGCAGTTTTCCTTTTGGCACCTCTTTGCTCCACAAAGCAGTCATGGCTCTGATGCCCCTCAAGCCCCTATGTCACCTTCTGAGATGGCTTAGCAACAGATGGGATGTTCGCTATGGATAGGATCCAGATCTTATCCATCCAGTCTGTTAGTCTGCCTCCTGATCCAGCCACACAGGACCTGAGTAGTTCAAAGATTATGGAGGAGGATTTTACTTCCTGACAGCAGCAAGAAACGATAAATCATCACCTTGCCTGTTGTTTCCTAGAAAAAAGAAAAAGCTGAACAAGCAGCTGTGGAAACACACTCCCCTTTTCATATAGACTCAGTCTTCTACATAATTCTTTGTTGTTTCTCCACTTAATGATCCGCACAACCACAAATGTCAGCATTTCTCTGCTCCTCACAGGAAACATGATCATGTACGCTGAGCTGCGCATGAAGCCGAAACCCAAAGGCAACAGCAGACCAGAGACTTCCTCTTCCGGTAGTGTATTTTAGTTATTTTGTTTGGTTACTAATTATAGGTTTAGTCTTTCCTACTATAGATTTAGTCTTTCCTATTGCCCAATGGTAAAACCTGGTATCAAGAGTCTTCATGTTCACTCTCCTTAAAAAACTGAGTTATCATTTCATCCGGTGGGTATTTTCTGCTGGGTTCCCAGGCAACACACTTTCCTTGTAAAAACAACTTTGAAAGGCATTTCAAAACTAATTCTTAAAAATGCCTTTGTGCCCTACATTGAAAATTTAGCAAAGGAAAGTAAAATTCCATGTTTTTTTAGGAATCCTCTTGTAAATATCTCTGCAGGAAGAGTCACAGGGATACACTTGGCTTTGGAAGCAGGGTAATTCCCAGCTCTCTGTGTGCTGGTAGTGCACTGATGATTTCCACCCTTCCTGTACTGAAGGATTTGCCTGCCAGACAAGGTCAGGCCCTTGGAAAGAGGAACATTACAACTTATATCCGAGGCAGCCAGAAAATGGACAGTTGCTCATCTCACACAGGCAAGGTCAGGAAAACAGAGGTTATGACAATGCAACTCTGTGTCTGGTGGAACTGACACCTCGACCCCAAATTTCCTCGGATTCTGCCTCTTCCTGAGGATTTCACTCTCACGAGATGATGAATGCCAAACAGCTGGAGAGATGCTTAGAGGTACTTCCCTGTGCCATGGTGTCAGAATGGGGTTTTTGCCTTTTCTGTGCACTCGGGAAGTTGGCTTTGAGCCACAGGACAGGCACATTAACACTTGAGATCAAAGAGGAGGAACATACCACAGACCATCCCTGATACCTCAGACCATCCCTGATACCTCACACCATCCCTGACACCACAGACCATCCTTGATGCCACAGACCACCCCTGACACTTTCCCTTAACTGCTCTGCAGGGTCTTGCAGGGTGTGGGTGTGTAGGTGGGAGGAGGCAATGCTTGAGAAAAGTAACTCAAAGGAGAAAGAGAGAATTCTTAATGGAATGATTGAAAACCACTTGCTCGTTCTGACAAAATATTTAGATTTTGCTTTCATGTATGCAAAATGGACACAAATTTTTAATAAGTAAAATATTCCTGTATCCCTCAAACACCAGGCTGATTTTAGGCAGATGATTTCTCTGCTGTTTCCACAGAAGAAACTTCCCTATGCAAGTGTTCATTTTAATAATGCCAAGACCTTAATCTGCCCTTCCTCCTGCCTCCCTTGAGGCTGTCGACACAGGTGCTCAGCCTGGTTCTATGTGGTGCTGGTCCTGGGAGTCCTTGTGCTCATTCTGCTCGGAATCATAGCCATACAAGCCAAGCAATGTGAGTAGATCCTGCCAGCTGCTTCATCTCTTCCTTGCAGGCATGGTTAAACCTCACAAGCTGGAAGAAAAATTCCCTCAGTATTAAATTAAGGGTGTTCAGTTGTACACAAATATGGAAAATGAGAGTCTGTTTACAAGGGCCTGCAGGTCACTGACAGGACATGCAAAATGGCTTCAAACTGAAAGAGAGTAGCTTTAGATTGGATATTAGGGAGAAATTCTTCCCTGGGAGGGTGGGGAGGCCCTGGCACAGATTGCCCAGAGAAACTGTGGCTGCCCCATCCCTGGAAGTGTCCAAGGCCAGGTTGGATGGGGCTTGGAGCAACCTGGGCTAGTGGAAGGTGTCCCTACCCATGGCAGGGGTTTGGAACTGGATGATCTTTGAGGTCTCATCCAACCCAGACCATCACGTGAACATCTTTTTCTCACTCACTGAGTCTGCTCACAACTGACTGTCTGTACCAGCCAATGTACATACACAAACACATCCTCACACTCAGTACAGCACTGGATACATAGACCACATTTCCTTATCCTGGTTGTTAACCATAATCTCTCTCTCTCTTCAAGTTTTGAAGGGCAGAGCAGGAAAATCAGAAGGTTTGTCCCAGTATAGTCTGAATAGCAGCAACAATCACATTTCTTCAGAGAAGACCTTCCCTGCAGTGCTCCTGAAATGGCTCGTGGAGGAACTGTGTGAAGATGGACAGGGTGAGCCTACAGGACATGCTGTGTGCACATTTCTGTTGTCTCTGTTCCCATTTCTCTGATATGCTACAGTTTATGGGAACTCATTGGTACTACCCAGAGAGCTTCATGTTCCTGCAGAGACAGAATCTAAACTAACATTTTAATGACAATAGTTTTGCTCCTCTTTTGGTATAAAGTTTCTGGTACTTTCTTTACAAGTCTTTCTGCCAAGAGCTGCTGTCAGAAATACCATATATTGTAGATCCTCCCCTTGGCCTGGAGAACACTTTCCAGACACCAACTGTTCACAAATAGAGGGAGGAATTCAGCTTTTCGATCCATTTGCAAGGATCAGGCAGGGGAAAACCTTCCTGATCTTTTTTCCTTGGCAAATACCAATGTTTTTTTCTGAGGGCTGATCCTTTGCTCTTCTTTTGAAACATTAGAGGAAGCCAAGACAGAAGACATGGGGAATGTTCTGCATGAAATGGGAAGTTGACCTGGGAACAGCAACATTCCACTTAACACAGTTCCTTCTCCAGCCTCATGGACAGCAGTTTGGACATTATCTTATGTGCCTGGTCACATCATGTGTCAAATCCACACCCCCCCAAATCCTGTCACATCCCACAGGGTCTCCTCACAAGGGCTGAATGTGGGAGGACAAAAAGTGTCTTTGCAGCCTTCCAGGTCCTCCCAGTGCTCTCTACTGGGCAGGTGCACTGGGAGGTGGAGAGAGTCCAGGTATGTGCCAGTGGAAGTGCAGATGTGCACGGTGCCACAGCAAGGGAGTGGGAAGCTGAGGGGACAAGTGGTCACTGTAGCCTTCAAACCTCTCTCCACACACAGGAAATACACATTTGGGAGTGTGGACTGGCCACTTTTTTGGTACATGAGCATAAAATGCCACAAGGCAACTGGAATGAGTCACAGTGGGAGCTAATGGTCCCCTCTCTCCACCCACAGGAACTACATGTGAGCTCTGTCCTCCCGGGTGGCAGCTGCACAGGGGCAGATGTTACTACTTCTCTGAGGAGGCTAGAAGCTGGGATGACAGCCAGAAAAAGTGTCTGGCCAGGAAATCCCAGCTTCTAGTCATTGAAGATGAAATTGAGATGGTGAGTCTTGCAGCAGCCCTGAAAACACAACAGGCATCTGCCTTAGCCAAACATTTCTCCAAGGGAAAAGGTATCAGATGTCAGGTACACATGAAGAACCCCATCAAGGGCAAAGCATCTGTCTCCCCCTCAACAGGAACCTGTTTTGGGATTGTCAACAGAGTAGAGTTGAAGAGGAGAAGCACAAGAGATGCCAAGCATGGAAGCCAGAGTAGTTTTGACTGGGAGAAGGAAATGCTGAGGACTTTTCACACATTTCTATTGCTTGGCTCTGGGACAAGAGGTCTGATTCAGCCACTAAATAGAAATTCAACAGCCAAACCTCCTTCTCCTTTTCCTTTAGGAAAAGAATAGCAAGGTACTACCAAATGGTTCTGAGAAACTCATGATTCCCCGAGGAACAGGTCTTTTACCTTAAGGACCAAGATTTGCAATCTGGTCTCATTAGGGTGAAGAGCATCACTACATTTTTGTCTGCTGTTTGGCAGCTGTCAGGAAGCTCATCAGCCTGAATTAAAACTGTGGCTGATCACTAGTGTATGGGCTATTGTAATGGGTTGCTTTCCAATGGCTGGATGCCTGCTCTTGCTCTCCATGTGAGGGACTAAAAGCTGTGCCTGAGACAGGACAGTGACCTGGACACAGCAGGAAAGCTCTTCTGTGAGTTAACATGCTTCTACTCTTTCCACAGGAATTTATAGACAATAAAGAAAAAGATCCAAAATATATCTGGATTGTGTTGAAGACTCAAGACAAGAAGAAACAATGGAGTTCAGTTGGAGATCATGGAGTAAAAGTAAACAGGTGATGATTTGTGTGTGTGGGGGTGTCTTTGGCAATAGCAAAGGTATGGTATCTCTGCTTGGAAATACAACTCTGGATCTGAGCTAATTTCCCAAAGCACAGATCTAATCCTGCAGCCTCAGGCATGTATTCAGAGTCTATTCCACAGCCAGCCCCAGGTTAGCCGGTTCCTGCCAGACACTTTTGGAAACATACGTTTTCTGCTTCCAAGACCAACCCCAGCCACAGTTCATGTATATATTAATGCTGAGAGACATTATTACACACTTCTACTGAAATCACTGTCAACAAACTCTCTCACTTTACAGACCACGTGCTGCCTGCCTCCTGAACGTGATGCCTGTCCCATAGCATGGGTGCTGGGATCTGTGCAGCCGAAGGGTCCTTCAGCATTGTGGCTGCATGGGAGCTTTCCTCCTTCTTACCCTCATGCTCCCAAGTATCCATCCCTCAGCAGCCAGCAGACCCTGCTGGGGCTGCCTATCCCACCTGTTCCTGGCTGCTGTGCTTCAAGCTGGTTACCAGAAGGGCATCACCTGACCCCCTCACTCAGGACTCCACCAGTATTTTTAACCAGAATTTTTAATTTAGTACTGAATCTAAAGCTGACAACTCATTGCATTCTTTTTGCTCCCTCAGCAGAAGAGCTCTAAAGAGAATTGAGACCGACAAGAACTGTGCTGTTTACAGAAGGAAAAATGTGATCCAAGCAGACAACTGTCAGACATTGAAAAAGTGGATCTGTAAGAAGAACGCAACTTTGCTGGAGCTCTGAGCCAAATTTCCAGACAACAGGCAGTTTTCTGTCAGAAGATCCATTTACTGACAAACCAACTTGCAGTGTAAATAATTTTAATGAGACCTGTGGGGAATATTGCTGTTTTGTGCTCCCTAAGAAGTCAGAAGTTGCCAGGTGTCAGCGGTGACAGGTCACAGGACTGCAAGTTGGCACCTGTAGATTTGGGGGTGCTGAGCCTTCATATGGACAGACTTTGGAAGCAGCTGCCTCTAGGAAAGGGCAGAGAGGAAGGATGAGGATGAGCACTGTGCAGGTGAGCTGTGTGATGTGCAGGAAAAGTGGCATCTGCAGGGGCCAAAGAGTGTGCTGGAGCCCACTGCTGTCATACACGTCCCTCAGGCAGCTGCTGAGCTCAGGACTTGTTATTTGGGTTTCAGCATTTTAGTGTTTTCTGAAGTTTGGGTGGTTTTTTTTCCTTAGAGCCTAATTGTGACTCACAGAAGCCAATCAAGGGCTGGAAAAAATACATTTATTGGACAGTATCTTATTAAGAGCTGCTACCCAGCTGCTGTGTGTAGATACCAGACCAAACATGAAGTGACTTGTAAAACTTGTGGTTAATAAGCTGATTGCTCCCATCTTCTGATGTTGAACCTTGGAACCTGAAAGCAAACTCTTACCTAGGGAAGGGGCTTAGATTTTAAGACTACTTTGTAAAGCAAAGAAATAAAGAGGATAACCTGCCTCTCCACCTATATTTTGTCCCTTTACATTGCAAATTCTTTAACGTGGAACCACAGTTTCTGCCTTGAAGGTACGATGAGGTGGTGAAATTAATGCCTGTGAATGCACTCAGTAAATACATTACTTAGGTTGTATGTATGGCCAGTCTTCGCGAGCGAAGATTTGGGAAAGGTCATTAACCCTTCGAGCCTGCGCAGTGGATTTTTTAGGTGAGACACAGCGTGCGCTGAACTGAGCCCACCCTTTAATCCTGAGGTTCATCTGCCAGGGCCGAGCTATTGAATGGATAAACACTATTTCTAGGTCTAGAATACAAAAATGCTATGAGCAGTCTGACTTAGTGCCTTTATTACATCCATATATTTGAAAAAAAGAACAAATTTAATGAATTGAACGTGTTACTCTAACAAAAATCACACAGACTGGAATTAAAGTCCTTATAAGCAATGAGAGAAACAAATTCTTTTGAAAGAATAGAGGACTCTGGGACTACAGATTAAAAAGCAAACGGTACCTTCAGTGACTTCCCTTCAAACAAAAAAAACCCTAACAGATTTACCCTCCAAAATGCAGCATCAGCAGCTCATTTGAAAAACTGCTGTTACGTAAAAGGAAACAAGAACAACAAAAATCCCCCAAACTCAGTGCAGCACATGTGTGGGGAAGAGGATTGGATTGTTCCCTCTTAGATTAGTAGTGGTGTTTAGGTTTAAAAAACATTCATGAAACATCTACTATTTGAGCATTCTTGCTATTGCTCATGTAATTACACACGTTTTTGCAGGGCCTTACTGAAGCTCTTACCTACTTTTTAAGCAGTCACTGATTTAAAAAGAAAAAAAATGGCTATTGAAGTACTTCATCAGACCCTGCTATGAGTAAAGTGAGTTTATAGCTTGACCCTTTGTTTCTTAACATCACAGAAGAGAATGGTAACTGCACCTCTTAAGAGTCAGATTACAAAAGAGCTTTCATTATAACCTACTGTGCTCACAGTTTCTCCAAACCCCCTTTCAGAACCAAAATTTCCTATTTTTGGACTCTCTCCATAGATGACACTGATGGGAAAACAAACCAACCTGTTTAAAACGAAAAAAGTAAATGCAAAGAATAATAAATGTATAAAAAAACCTGTTTGGCTTCAGACTGAAAGAGGGGAAATTCAGGTTAGATATAGGGAAGAAATTCTTCCCTGTGAGGGTGGGGAGGCCCTGGCACAGGTTGCCCAGAGAAGCTGTGGCTGCCCCATCCCCGGAAGTGTCCAAGGCCAGGTTGGATGGGGCTCTGAGCAACCTGGGCTAGTGGAAGGTGTCCCGGCCCATGGTAGGGGGTTGGAATGAGATGATCTTTAAGGTCCCTTCCAACCCAGGCCACTCTATGATTCTGTAAGAGCAACTTTATTTTCTTTAGTTAAAGAAAACATTCAGGTAAATCAGCTCAGTAAGAAAGGCTGAGACACAAAATGGTCCATCACAATTTCTATCCAATCTGTGAAATGTACCTCTACTATGTCCCCAATGCAAATATTCTCAGAAAAATTTCCAATAATGAACTGTGGAAAATTCCATGTTATCCCTCCAAATTTACCATCCCGTGTGCGTTTCACTGTGCCTATTTCAGCATTTCCACACAAGTACATTTAGGTTAAATGCTTCTGTTAAAAGTTTGACACATTATGAAGAGTTGGGAAGTGAAATGCATTATTTTTTGGGTCAAATGTCTTGTTTCGTGTCAACCCCAACATTACAATTAAAGATTTTTTCATATTCAAAACCTGAATATTTTACTTTGCTTCCGTCTGGTGGGTTTTTTCCTCCCCCAATGGTGCCAGAATGAAAAATACTTTTAATGGCACAATATTAAGACACAAACCATTGTAATTCGGAGGCTCTGTAAGGATATTTATTGAGTATCTTTTTGGGACTATTGCACATACCATATCCCTCAGAGCCAGGTTAATTTAAAAACATCGCAGAATAATACCCTCCCAACACAACATATACACAGATTATTAGGCTTTTCACACTGTAGAGTCCTGTTACTGTGCCTATAAAGAATATAAGCCATTAAAAAAGTGTAGTTCAGTAAAATTAGTGATTATATATTAATAAACATCTTAAAGTTACAAGTTGGTGACAATATCCATACTGTGTGGTTCTATTACAGTGAAGTCCTATTGTCACAGAAAATGAGGAAAGTGAACTTCCCATTCTTCCTTCTCTGGAAACACTCATTATCCAACTAGAAATGTACCACTTGCTAGGAAGCTTCACACTCTGACAGTCACAGGACACGAGGAAACCACAGAGAAACCTCCTTTGCTGTTAATTCTCTTTTTCTCTTCTCCTGATTTTGCCTATTCACACTGAGAACTATTTCTAACTTTAAACATTAATGCCTGCAGCTTCACTATTACTTTTCCAGTTCAAATTCTTTTACCCCCAATCAGAACAGATCCTCAGGTAAACAAATATTCTTATCTATTCTGGGGTTTTTTGGGCTAAAATAAGTCTTGTGGGAAGGATAACTTCAAGTCCAGTGCAGCTACATAAATGAGCTTGACAGCATTATCACTGGGATTTAACAAGGCTAATGTAAAATAACATTAACAAAACATTGAATACAATGCAGAGTCACACAAGATGCATCCCATCAAACCAGAAGAGGGAAACCTGCTATGATCCTGTCTAAAACAACAGTGCTTATTCCTGCATTCCCCTATCTCTGAGAGGCACTGGCAGACCACCAGAAAGTCCCACTTCACCACCCATCCCTGCACACAGAGGAAAAAGCAGAACAAAAACTGCCAGATGCACACCAAAAAGGAAAAGAAAGAGCAGCTGCTCCTCCAAAAGAAGGGTTAATGGAAGAAATGCTGATGACACAACAAAAAAAAACTACAGGCTGGGCAGTACTTAGAAAAACGGGGCAAGAAAATGACTTATCAAGGTGCTGGAGCAAACCTTTTAAGTGGTATCTTTAAAAATCAGAGGCTTCCTCCATGGCTGGAGAATTCTGGCTACCAGAAAAGTCATTCACCTTCAGGCAGGAGCTGAGACATGTTCCCAGGTCGCAGAGTATTGACACAGCCTGTGCAGACACCACATCAGAGATAGGTGAAAATGTCAGGGGGTGGCTTCGTCCACCTTCATTGTGCTGAGTTAATGGTCAAGCTACAGACCCACTTCCTGGTTAAATAACATCCAGAGGCTGAGACTCCTTTTGACTCAAGATAGGCACAGTTTCCAGAGCCTTTTACCTCAATTCTGGAAGGAAGAAAGACATGATTAATTTGATACCCACGATCGAATATTGTGATAGAGCAAAGGCAACTATGGGTTCTCTTGAACAAAGCCTAATTTGCCACAGGCAAGGCATCACAAGAGGATGACTGCTTGTGCTTTGAAGAGAACACCATGGGGGGTTTTCTTTTTTTAATGGGATTTTGTGCCCAGAATACAAAATCTAGGCCTTATAGTAGTCCTGAATCTTGTCTAGTGGTCACTTAATATGAAACACACCCTTAGATTGGAGACTGAAACTTGGGTTTCCCTGTCTCAAGGATGCTGTGCTATCAAGACTGGCACCAGCTTTGACTTCCACATCCTCCTATACAGCTAAAATGTTCCAGCAGAAGGTGCAAAACAAACGTATCTCTCATTTCTCTCGTCCTCAGAACAGAACAGGGCACCATGGTTCAGGGGCTGGCGGAAATCAGGAAGCAAACCTCAGTTCCCACATTATAGATGCCCCTGTATAAGAGGTGAGAGACTCCTTCACCAACTCTGTTTGAAAACAGTGCTATAATGTTCTGTGGATAGGGCCAACCCAACTAGAATGATCTCTGGAAAAGCCAAGGGACAAATCCCCATGACTGTAATAACATCTGAGCTTAGACATCGAGGTGTTCACCCTCCTAAAGACAGGAGGGTCAGTGTGAGGCAAGCACTGAGGCAGAAGTCTAAGAATGGGAAGAAATTCATCACTGATAATGAAAGCATCAGTGGATGTTTGTATTGCAGTCAGGGAATAAAACAGTGGGAAGGACTGCAGTTTTCAGCTCGAGATGCCCATGTGCTCCTCACATCTCACATCAAATGCCTTCATCAGATCACGCCCTTAAGTCTTGGGGATTACCTGAATATAGTCACACACCACTAGTAATGTCACAAACTTGAAAGTATTTAAATTTTCCACTTTTTAAGTCAATTTCAGACTTGTGAAATCTCAGTGCTTATTACTATCACTGATAATTCTACCAACTCCTGCAGGCAGCTGCAGGATGAGACACAGCAGTGCCTGAGAAGAAGGGACAGCTGTCAGTGGGAGGAACAAACTGCCCCACACCTGACACTGGTGGGACAAGGACACAGGGCCATGACCACAGAGCAGCTCCTGCAACATAAACTTACAGCTTCCCCTTTCCCTCCAGCAGCCTTTTTTTAGGAACATTCTATAAGAAGTATGAAAACACCTCCTAGAGGTCTCCCAAATCTCTTTGCTACAAACCTCATGCAGGTTACGTGGAGGTTTGTACTTTTGCAAAATATATGGTATAAGGAAGAATTTGCATTATTGTAACCTTCTATTCCTCCATTGGTTGCTTTGGTATCTTAGTGGTCTCTTGGTTTAACTTTCACTTTGCCATCCCGTCTGTTGCCATGAGCTCCTACCTTATGTTCCTTCTGAACATTACAAATTTATCTTCTAACTTTCACCCCTCACACTTTTATCAATGCTATATGAAATCTTTATTGCATTTCATTCTCTCTCAATAATCATCCCTCCAACATGACAGATATTTCCTTCAAGTCACTGTCAATATCTGTATTAGTTATCTTTTCTTACTCCCCTATTATCTAGTACCACCAGCAAAACCTCTTGACGTCAACTTACAGTTCATTGTCTAATGCGTTTCCATTCACCCAAAAGAACTCTTCATTTCTTTTATAGAGTCCAATCCATGGGTCTTGCTTTGTTATCTTCATCATAAAACTCTGTAGGAATAAATTCATATGAGAAAAGAAGTTCATGCTATGAAAATACAGTCTTTGTTGTTTTGCTTTCTAGCCCTGGATCAATCTTGCCTTTGTCTCAGAAGAAACAATATTAAAACCTAAATGTACAGAGTACTGGTACCTGTGATAGGGTTGACTGACCTAGAGAGAGGCTGTTTTAAAATATCAAGGACTGCCATCAAGGTTTGTAATAGATATGGAAGAATATATTCTCCTAGTTTTTTGTGCAGGGTGGAATCTTTCCTAATATTGTAGTGTAATATAGAAAGAGATGCTCCAAGCAGTGGTTAGGATATCTCCTAACTCCAAAGGTCACAACTGACATATCTACTAACTTGTGCATCATTAACGTATCTTGATATGATAAAACTGTTAATTAAAGATAAATGAGTTGCAACAGTGTTTATGCTGATAGTTGCCTTCAACTTGAGTATTTATAGCTGTGAGCAGCACCAAATTTAACTCAGATAAGCCCTCATGCACTTTTAAAAACATCAACTGATAAAACTGACTTTCTGTTTTCAGGGAGAGAAGGCAGGAAGTTTTCTGCAGGCTGTGACCCAACATGGCCTTGCATCAACTTCCTAACTATTCAGCTTAGGAGGCTGGAAGGACAGCTCACTTCAGGACATGGAACAGGGTGAAATCAGGACGCCCCGTTTGTTCCCTTACCAGTTCCTGATGATTCTTGATCACCAGGAGGGAAGCATTGTGCAAAGAGCAGTGGCTCTGACTGGAGTTCCAGTCGGCTTCATTCTCCGACAGGTAGTAGCATTTCCTCTGGAAATACAGCCAACCTGATGGGCAGACTTCCAGGGAAGGACAGACAGGAAAATCTTTGGCTGAAGAAAGGTTTACTGGGAAAAGACAAAAAACAATCTACCTATTTCTTCCAATGGGAAAAGGTCTCTGGAGCATTTTATTTTGCTTTGTGATTGCATCATTCCAAATAATCTCAGTCTAATCATAGCATTATTACCTCTGCTGAGCAGAAATAATTATTGTAAACTAATTGAATACTGTGGATCCTGCACCCTTATGGCTCCTGACATACCTTTAAAGGTTGGTAGAAGTAGCTGAGAGGGTGATAATAAAGTATCCTCCAAGGACTCTTCTACAACATTAATATTTCTGACAACCACAGTTTTTGAAGTGTTGCTTCCTCACAGCTGAATTAATAGCTTTGCTTATTAGCACTCCCTAATGCCACTGCAACAAGTAGAATAATTTCTCCAGCACTTCACCATTATTTTTTAATCAACACAGAATCACAGAATGGCCTGGGTTGGAAGGGAGCTTAAAGATCATCTCGTTCCAACTCCCTACCCCCTTCCACTATCCCAGGTTGCTCAGAGCCCCATCCAGCCTGGCCTTGGACACTTCCAGGGATGGGGTAGCCGCAGCTTCTCTGGGCAACCTGTGCCAGGGCCTCCCCATCCTCCCAGGGAAGAATTTCTCCCTAATATTCAATCTAAACCTGCTCTCTGTCAGTTTGAAGCCATTCCCCCTCGTCCTGTCACTCCAGGCCCTTGGAAATAGTCTCTCTCTATCTTCCTTGTGGGCTCCCTTCAGGTCCTGGAAGGCCACAATTAGGTCACCCCAAAGACTTCTCCATGCTGAAAATATGTCATGGAACATCTATTTAATTTAGAAAGAAGGTGAGTTCTGAATAAACCACTTAAGGTTTGGATGGACTTTTGACAACCTAAAATTCTGGAAATTTCTATTGCTAATTATCTTTTCTTTTAAAATGACTTACCAAACTGAATACACGAAATTAAAATGACAGCAGCACTAAGGACTCCAGCCACCGCTCGCCAGAGCCAGATATTGGAGAACAGATCTGAAAAAATAAATGTCATGTTTCAAAAAACAAAATAAAACAAAAAACCCACAACCAATTTACAGAGGAGTAGAGCCCAGGACCCACAAAGCTGTTCCAAAAGCAAAAGCAGTTCCCTGTGGACAGGAGGCTGGGAGCAGAGCTGAAGGATAGGCAGTCTGTGACATTTAGAACAACAAGAATTTTAATTACATCATCCAGAACTTGACCTGATAGGGAGGTGGTTCCTGACACTCCAAAGTGATCAAAAAAGAAAGAAATGAGCATGGAACAAATGAGGGTGGACAGTATGTTTGCTGTTGACCTCATGCCTTAATGTGGCATGGATAAGTGAAACAAGACAAGCCTTCAGCTCCGCAGCCCAAAACGTCTCCTGAGAAACATCCCGCCTTATCCCACAGCTTTTCAGGGTCTCTTTTTCTTCTCCGCTCCCTTCCAGGGGTTTGGAGGTGGGAAGGACACACCAACCTGCCACTGCCCTGCTTTATATCGAACCCTGCAGGCGGTAGCGGGGGATGAGGTGTCCCCCGACCGGCTCCCAAGGGAGGGTCCCCTCTCGCTGCCAGCACAGGGGTTTTCCAGCCGCCGGGACGCCGCAGGGCAGCAGCCAGAGTGCTCCAGCCTCGGGCCGGGGAAAGCGGGAGCATCCCCGCCCCGGGACCGGCGGCTGCACCGCGGCTCATCCCCGACGGCGCGGCCGCTCCCCGGCGGCGTCCCGGCTCCCGCCCGGCTCTAGCCATGGGATCCAAGCCCGGCCCCTCTCCCTGTGCCCCATCACCTTCGCGGGATCCCGTCCCCCGCTCCGCGGAGCAGCCGCGCCCGCCACCCCCTCGGCATTCCATGGGTGCGGAGCCGCTGCCCCGCGGGCGCGGAGATCACGGGGCCGGAACTGCCCGAGCGTCCGGGGTGGGAGCAGCTGGCCGGGATCCGCTTTCCTCCGTCCTGGTCCTTGCTCCGAGGGTGGGGGCAGCCGTGGGATCCACTTCCCTCGATCCCGGGATGCGCCGTCCTCCCCGAGTGCATGCATGGTCACGGTACTTTGTGTTGCAATAGTAACTCCGGAACTCCCCTGAAACAGGAAATGGGGAGTGTTTGTTAAGAAGAACTTGGCTGCCAGCAGGTCTCGCTGCGGTTTTCTCTGACGTCAGCGAATTCCAGGATCTGACACAAAGGCAGAAAGCGGCTCTTGCTGTTTTTATTTATTTATTTATTGTTCATTTATTTATTTTCTTCTTTTATACAGAAGATGAGGAGGAATATGTGGAGGAGGAGAGTAAAATAAAGTATTTAAACGCTGATCCCCTAAAACTTGAGGTCTTTGGAAAACGTGGCCAGTGATCTGCTTCACCCAGGGGACTGCAAAGCCCGATGGTACTGACTTTCCAGCTGTGGGGATGAAGTTGTTACTGTGAATTTTAATTACATCATCCAGAACTTAACCTAATAGCAAGGTAGTTCCTGACACTCCAGAGTGATCAAAAAAAGACAGAAATGAGCGTGGGACAGAAGTTGCATTGTTTGTAAGTGCAGACATTTCATCTGGTGTGTTTTGCCCATTTAACTGCTTTACTTAAAGCAGATCTCGGCTGTGTAGCACGTTCAAACAGCCAGAGGGACACAGTTCTCTTCGAGTCATCGTGCGGGCTCTGTACAAGGCTGATAAGGAGTTCAGCCAACGGTTTATCCAAAATGAACAACCTTCTGGATCTGGGGAGAAAACCTCGAATAGAAAAGTGTGACAGTGGAGAGTTACAATTTATGCTCTCACAGCAGTCTCCAACTACTTTGAATATCAAAGTGGTCAGAAAATTATCTCCAGGTGTTTATATTTACAGATAATAGAGTTTGAGCAGTGGTCAGTTGCTGAAAATTGTCTTCAGGTGTCTATAATAATAATAATAAATAATAATGGCCAGTCTTCACGAGCGAAGATTTGGGAAAGGTCATTAACCCTTCGAGCCTGCGCAGTGGATTTTTTTAGGTGAGACACAGCTTGCGCTGAACTGAGCCCACCCTTTAATCCTGAGGTTCATCTGCTGGGGCCGAGCAAGCTTGGACAGTGGCAGTGAGGGTCTCAGAACGTAGGTTTGTTTAGAGTGACCTTCTCTTAGATGGATTGCCACACAGGGCTGACGAGCTCCATCTGCCCGGGGGGCTGGGAATCGAACCCGGGTCGCAGCGGTGAGAGTCCTGCACCCTAACCACTAGACCACCAGAGGTGTCTATATTTGCATAATAAACAATAAAGAGCCATATCAACTTCATGCTTCCATGAATATAGTTTGAATTGCAGCTGATTTTAGCCTTTGCCTGGAGCAGGTGCTCATTTAAGCAGTGGACTGGGATTGTCCATCATGCCTGGGATGGCACTTGTTATAGGTAAATAAATCAAATCAAAATTTAGCAGCAAAATTTATTGTAAGATTTATATAAAGTGCAGATAAGCAAATCAGCGCGCTGGTTGGCCTGGAGAGACCCCTGCTCTCCACCGGCCCACAAGCCCAATAAAAACAAACAGTAACTTTTATACTTTTTCAACTCCCCTCCCATAGTCACTTGTTAGCTCTTGATTGGGCTTGAGTTCGCGGGCTTCGTTCTGGTTGGTTCTGTTGTAGGCCCATTTTAATTGCCAGGGATTTTCCATCAATAGTTTTAATTAGCTCAGTGTCCTTGGAGTTGGGTATGAATTATGGTGTCCAGATGTTCTCTTTGGCTCTTCTTTATAATTTTCATCCTTGACCCTCTGATCCTCGTTCTCTTCTTCTTTTCTAATAAGTACACTTAAACAATATTTTTAGAAAAGCAGGATATAGTATACGTGCTCAATGAAGCAAAATACTTTATCTTGCCAACTAAGAAACTGCCAGTTGCAAGATAGTCAACTTATAATAGTAACACAGCAGTTAACTATTCCGCAGCTTACAACTTCCCAGTCCCAACAAAGCATTAGCTATAATATACAGAAAGTACAATATATATATATTTTGACGAGTAAATTTTACCATTGCTTACTTATTACACACTTGAGAAGAAATAGAAAGGCAAAAGGGTGAAGAATAATCCAAAAGTTATGTGCAGCAAGGTTTCAAACATGGTGGCTTCGGGGAGGTCAGGGAACTGAAGATTCCTGGGAGAGGGAGGAGGTGATGGGTCCAGAGAGCACAAGCTGCAGACAGTTCAGAGTATTTGGCAAGACATGAATTCAGAGGGGCAGAGACTGAGAGTGGGGTGTGGAATTAGGGCAGCAGAGAGGTTCAATATGCAATGGAAGATGCATGTATGAACAGCTGGTATTCTAAGAACAGGTTATTCGCATTTATTCAGTTGAAAAGAGTGGCTTTCTCTCTTACCGTTTAGTCTTGCCTGTCGCCAAGGTCAAAAATAATATTGTGGCTTATTACCGCAGAGCATTCACGAGTGAGTACTCTTTTCGTTCTCACCCACTGGTACAGAAGATAATTTTGGCAGCTGCAGGCAGTTCTCCAGGCTGCCAAAAACCTCTGAGAACCTGTCACATACTCAGTTGCGAATCATTTCGTTCTCTGAAACTATTGTAGTTATTAACCCCAGACGCTTATGACTGAGAAACTCGATCTTTACTTTCCCTGATCAGTTTGGCTGAGAGGCCCACAGACATTTTCTAAAATGAAGATTGATAAACAAGATAGGAATTTCTTAAAGGAAAAAGGCAAAAGACAAAAATAGCCCCCCAACTGAATCACAGGAAAATTACTCTAAAATATTGCCATGTTGTATGGAGAAAGATGCAAATATTCTAAGTAGAAAGTGTAGCATTTTGTAGAAGGGGTCTCATGGGACTGACTCAAAAAGTTAAAGTTGGATTCTGTGATGCTGCCTCCTGCTTGCTGCTATCACAAATAATATTACTTTTATCGCTTACTGGTCATAGAATCATGAAATGGTTTGGATTGGTATAGACTTTAAAGAACTAGTTCCAGCCTCCCTGCCATGAGCAGGGACATCTTCCAATAGGCCAGGTTGCTCAGGCCTTGAACACTTGCAGGGATGAGGCATCCATAACTTCTTTGGGCAACCTCTGTTCACTTGCATAATGATATTGTGGCTACAGGAAGTGAAAGAAATTACCTGAGTTATAAAGGCCTGTTTCTTAGGCTGCAGTTACAGTCCAAGATGTATTTAGTCATCACTTAACTTTGAACTAAAAAGCTAAAAATTCTTCTCCAAAGAGAAAAAAAACACTTTTGAGCCTTGGCAATGTAACTGCCTGGAGGATGATGCCATAGCAGGGCATTTTCCACAGAATGAGCAATAAAATATCTCTGAAGGTCCTTGAGACAATGTGGATACAAAAGGAGTTAGGATGATCCAGAAAATCCTCATACATGGAACACAGCTTCCTGGCTCCTTCTTATCTGACTGTATTTCAGTGCATCAGACTGGTGCCTCCTCATCCTAGAGGTAAATTAGGGGGAAAAAATCTCTTACATTGAGGAAGGATTGTTCTCCCCCTCTCTCAAAGACCTCCTGTGGTGTCAGAGGGGAGATTCATGTTGTGACTGTCCGTGAGATGGCCACTTACACAGCCAGATAGCAAGAAAAGTGACTTAAATGCATCCAAAACATACAGTGTTGTGCAAGAGTTTTGTGACTCCCAAATTAAAAACTAATAATTTAATTTTACTTTTTCCTTCCATCCCCAGGAACTCCAGAGAAATGAGAGTGGTCTAATCAGAGACATCAGCATTCCAGAGGGGGCTGCCTGTCACAGTAGTTCTGGACACCTCCCCGGGCCAGGTCTGAGGGCCACTGGAAACCTTCATTTGGCCGCAGTGAGAACTTCTGAGTCGTCAACCACAAAAGAAACTGCTTCTTTTCCTCTTCTTTCTCTCACACAGCTGGGGTTTGCTTGGCTTATCTTGGCCTTTGATTATGGGAAATGAGGCACAGAATTCCAGAACACACCACTGGCCCACTGCAGGAGCGTCTGTAGTTACCACTGGCAGCAGGGTGTTTCAGATCTGCTGGCCCTGAGACAATACTTACAGAATAGAAAATTGTATCTTTAAAAGAAAGAGGTCACTGGGCATTGGTATTTATTTTATTAAAAAAAATTTACTTTCTAGTATAATTTGTTCTATATCAGAAAAATGATGTCCTGCAGTAAAGGCAGGAATATAGTGATCATAGAATCATGGAATGGTTTGGGTTGCAAGGACCATCCAGTTCCAACCCCCCTGCCATGGGCAGGGACACCTTCCACTAGAGCATATTGCTCTGAGCCCCATCCAACCTGGTCTGGAACACTTCCAGGGATGGGGCAGCCACAGCTTCTCTGGACAGGCTAATTTACCCTGCTCTCGGTTGACTTTGTCAGTTCATCTTCATTTTCCTCCTCAGTCAACAGAACTATTGGTGAGTTCTCTGAGGCTTTCATTAGACCTTGAGGGATTTGTACCCCAAATAAGACTTCTGATATTTTTGGGTGCTGTGGGAACTCTTGTTTTGACCATACCCCCCAAAGCTCCCTGCTCTCTGTGTGCCTCTGTACCATAAGAATCCTACCAGTAAATAAGGAGGAAAGTACTGAAATACTTGCTTTTTTCTTATTGCTTTTTGCTTGCTAGTCCTGAAGTTTATTTTTCATTAACCCTGTGTTCATCTGAACAAAATTACATTTCTTTCTTATTAGTTATAAAGGTTTTGCTATTCACTGGCACAGGTTGCCCAGAGAAGCTGTGGCTGCCCCATCCCTGGAAGTGTCCAAGGCCAGGTTGGATGGGGCTTGGAGCAACCTGGGCTAATGGAAGGTGTCCCTGCCCATGGCAGGGAGTGGAACTGGATGATCTTTAAGGTCCCTCCCAATCCAAACCATTCTGTGATTCTATGATTCCTCTTACTTTTTGAGGTGA